CCTGGGTGGTGGAACCACATGCGAGAGCAGCCACTGGGGCCTTCGGTGGAGCTCCCTATTGGGCCACGAAACGCTGCCCTGGGTGGGGGAACCGCATGCGAGAGCAGCCACTGGGGCCTACGGTGGAGCTCCCTATGGGGCCACGAAACACTGCCCTGGGTGGGGAACCGCATGCGAGCTGCGCCACTGGGGCAGGCCTTCGGTGGAGCTCCCTATGGGGCCACGAAACGCTGCCCTGGGTGGGGGAACCGCATGCGAGAGCAGCCACTGGGGCCTTCGGTGGAGCTCCCTATGGGGCCACGAAACGCTGCCCTGGGTAAGGGAACCGCATGCGAACTGCGCCACGGGGGCCTTCGGTGGAGCTCCCCATGGGGCCACGAAACGCTGCCCTGGGTGGGGGAACCGCATGCGAACTGCCCCACTGGGGCCTTCGGTGGAGCTCCCCTGTGGGGCCACGAAACGCTGCCCTTGGTGGGGGAACCGCATACGAGAGCAGCCACTGGAGCCTCATCATCATCATCATCAGCATCAGCATCAGCATCATCAGTATAATCATCATCACCACCACCACCATCATCATCACCATCACCATCACCATCACCATCACCATCAACATCACCATCACCATATCCCATCATCATCAAGCATCCGCATCAGCATCATCATCATCATCAGCATCCATCTCACATCCTCATCTCATCATCATCCATCATCGTCATCATCATCATCACCATCACCATCACCATCACCAGCCCATCATCATCATCAGCATCAGCAATCACATCATCATCATCATCATCATCCATCATCAGCATCATCATCACCATCATCATCATCATCATCATCTCATCATCAAGCATCATCGTCATCATCGTCATCATCATCATCATTATTATCATCATCATCACATCAGCATCAGCATCAGCATCAGCATCAGCATCAGCATCAGCATCAGCATCAGCATCAGCATCATCATCATCATCATCATCATCATCATCATCATCATCATCATCATCATCATCATCATCATCATCATCATCATCATCTCCCCTCCCTCTCAATCCCACCTCCCCCTGCCCCAAAACACTCCCAGGCCGAAATGGTCGTTCCGTAATGGAATAGCTCGTTCCCCAGAATAGGCTGGAAGATCTGCGAAGAGTCCCGTGCCCCTGCAGGCAACGTCCCGACCCACCTGCGTTGGGTTCTCGTTTTGAATAGAGCGCTGATCCTGTCACCGCACGGTGTGGGGACCTCGGATGCCCCAGTTGCCCTCGGAGAGCAACCCGAGCCCCCAAAACCATGCGGTGACATCCCAGACATGTCATGTCCTGCTTTGTCCAAGAGGGCGTCCCCTGCAGTCCCGACCCTTTCGTCTGGGTCCTCCTCCCTCCCTCCTCCTTCTCCTCCTCCTCCTCCTCCTCCTCCTCCGAACCGCCTGGGGGCCCCCGAGGCCTCTTCGCCCAGACCATCGGCGCGAGGCGCGGGGATCGGACCGCGCGCGCACACGCCTGCGGTCGCTGGCGACGCCGGCGTGATGGCGCGGGCGCCTGGGAGGAGGGGGGCTGGGACCGGCAATCTTTGCTGCCGCTTTGGCAAGGATCCTGATCGGACAAGAACGGAAAGCGCCGCTTTAGTCCAATGGGCGTACTGGGCGAAGAACAGAAGGCGAGGGCGACGAGGAGGCGATGACGAGGACAACATGGAGAACGTGAGGATAGCGAGGAGGAGCATGAGGACAAAGAGGAGGAAGAGAAGCACAAGGGCCAGGACGAAGAGAACGAGGGCGAGTCCGACGAGGAATGTGTGGGCCTGGCAGTCGTTGCTGCCGCTCTGGCAAGGAGGCCGCCACCGTGCCGCTGGGCACGGAGTGGGCGTGACCTCAGGTCCATTGGTGAATCCATTGAGCCTCAGTCCTCACTCCCTGAGGAGTCTTTAAGGGGCCCAGACCTCAAAGTGCCAAATCTTCAAAGGCAGAAGTGTTTCAAATAAAAAATAAAATAAAAAGCACGTAGGATTCGAACCTCAGGAGAAGAAGCGGAAAGAAAGCCAGAACATCATGGTGAGTCGCACTTCTAGACCAACGAGCCAGAGCACTAAGAGCGAGCAACATTTCTGGATCTGCAGGGGCCGAGGTTGAGCCAGAGCACCATCGTGAGCCGAACCTCCGAGCCAAGTCGAGCCAGAACACACCGCTGCCGGACCGCGCTGCAAGACCGCCGCCGGGCCTGGGAGACGCCTCCCCCCGGCCGCCCCATGTGGAGACTCTGGTGAGAGGAATAGTTGGACTCTGTTGGAGCCCTCTGGCGAGACGCCATCGGAGAACGACCTCTCCCTCTCTGCTTCGACTGTGTGTGCACACACGCGCGCACGGTCCAGAAGAAATCACACCACCGTTGACAGCGTGGACGCGGCACAGGCGCCATCCGCACGCAGGCAAGCGCCATCCGCACGCACGACGCGCGTGCGCAGACCTAGCAGCTCCTGTCCTGCGGGGCAGGGCGGGCGACCAGGGCCAGTGCACAGGGGAGCATTGTTCGACCGACTCCTATCCACACTGGCGTGGCCTTGGGCCCACTGGCCCATTTGCCCACCTAGGTGGGGATATACAGTCGGGGCGTTGACCTAAGGAACCCTAAATAAGGAACGAGGCCCCTTTATTCCAGAAGTTCAACTTCGATTGCCTATCGAGAACATCGGAAAACCTGAGGCAAGCTGTGACACACTTTAGGAACGCGGAGCCCCTCCCCAACGAAAAGGGTTCCTTCTTTAGGGCCCCGACTGTACCCCCGATCCCTTGTGTCCCGCCAGACCTATCACCACCTGAGAGGGTGGGCTGGTGGGCCTGAGATGCAGTGGCCCAGTGGGGATGGGGGTAGGTTGGACGATGCAGAGCGTAAGAACTTGGACGATGCAGAGCGTAAGAACTCATCTGGCTGCTCGCATCTCGCAGTCCGTTCTGAACGCATAACGAAGAAGGCGAGGATGGTGGTCACGAGCTTAGATGAGGCTGGAATGGCATGCAGAAAAGGAGGAGAGAGCAGAGACGAGGACGAAGCGTGGAAAGGAATCAGAGGACGAGAAAGAAAGAGCGATAGAAAAAGAGAGAACAAGGGAATGATATAGGAGAGGGGAGAGAGAGAGAGAGGGAGAGGCAGAGAGAGAGGGAACAAGAAAGAGATGTGTATACCGATGTGAAACAATCAGAGAGAGAGAGATGGGCAATCCATAGAGAAAGATAAACATGTATATACCTATGCATCTTGAAACATAAAGAGAGCTAAAGAAAGAGAGAGAGAGAGAGACCTGAAAAGCACGCTTGCGTGCCTGCACGCGCACACAGGCTGTTCTGTCCATCCTCCTGTCTCTCCCTTCTCCCGACCTGCTCACGCCCGCCGAGCACAGCAAAGGCGAGCGTGCCCTTCTCCGAGCAGACCAGAACGCCCGACGAGTGTCTTCGAGCCGCCTCCGACCTGGGCGACGAAGCGCCACCCCCGCAGAGGCCGAGGAAGAAAACACGCACGGCTCCTCTTGATGGGCCAGTTTTTCACCACCACCACCACCACCACCACAATCAGTGGGACGGGGGAGAAGGGAGGACGGGGAGATCCTCCTCCTCCTCCTCGTCCTCCTCCTCCTCCTCCTCCCTCCTCCTCCTCTCCTTCCTCTCCTGCGTATGGTAGTGGTGGTGGAAAAATCGGCCCATCACCACTCGCCTCCCCCCCTCGCCGCGGCCGCCTGAAGAAGCAGCCGGCCCGGGCTGCCCGGGCCGCGCGGGCGTCAGCGATGGCGGCAGCATGCCTCCCGACCAGAGCCGAGGGGCTCGCCACTCGGCACTCGCCACTCGCCATCGCCCGTCGCCGGCGTCCTCGCCGTCGTCCCAGACATCCGACTTTCTACAAAAATTGGAGCAGGCGGTTTTTGGGCAGTTTTCGGTATCTGGGGGCCCTCGCCGGGCGTCGGGGGTGTCAGAAAACGGCTCAGGACGAAAAACCAGCCCTGGGGAAGTGGTCCGGACCTCCAGGGCACACGCATCGAAAAAATTGGAGCAGCCGGATGTCTGGGTCGGGCTCGCGACGGCGCCCCATCGCAGACTGGGGTTCAGGCAACGCCATGGGCGGCGGGGTAGCGTTGGGACTTCGTCGAGCACGTAGGGAAGTCCGAGCCCTGCCCCCGCCTCCATCGACTCAGGATAAGCGATGGCTGGTGGGGGCAAGATCCAGATCGCGCGCCACCCGAGGGCGGGTGGGGTCGGAGGATCCGAGAAATGCGCGCGGACCTCCGAGTTGTTATGTTCATGTCATTCTTCACTCCCCGATTGACCTTTCCGATGCGGCGTCTCCAAGAAGTGCCGACCCCCTCCCCACGGGGCCGGCGCTTCGTCCCGAGCCGACCCCTGACGCTCGTCTTAGGGCGCGGCGAGGGCCCCCTACAGGGCCAAGAGTGGCCCACAACCTCCTCCTCCTCCTCCTCCTCCTCCTCCTCCTGCTCCTCCTGCTGCTGCTCTTTTCGGGGGACCTTCCTGGAGCCACTCGCTCCACTCGTGCGTCGATGCTGCGTCGACCGCCGGTCGACTTGGCTCGAACCCGAATCGACCTCGAGTCGAAGTCGAATCGCGAGTCGATCTAGAGTCGAAATGGATTTCGAAATATGGCAATGTTGTGAAAAATGGTGTCTGATAATTCCAGCTGTGGTTCCTGGTGCTTCTGGATTCTTCCAACCGACATCCCAGTGTGTGTTTGGGGGGGGGTGATGATGCATGTATGTATGTATGTATGTATGTATGTATGAATGTATGAATGAATGAATGAATGAATGAATGAATGAATGAATGAATGAATGAATGTTATGTATGTGTGTATGTATGTATGTATGTATGTATGTATGTATGTATGTATGTATGTATGTTGGTATGTAGGTAGGTAGGTATGGAGGTATGTAGGTATGTAGGTATGTAGGTATGTAGGTATGTAGGTATGTAGGTATGTAGGTATGTAGGTATGTAGGTATGTAGGTAGGTATGTATGTATGCTTGCATGTATATGCATATATGCATGCATGTATGTGTGTACGCATGAATGCATGCATGCATGCATGCACGCACGCACGCACGCATGTATGTATGCATGCATGGATGCATGTGTGTATGTATGTATGTATGTATGTATGTATTTATGTATGTATGTATGTATGTATGTATGTATGTGTATGTATGTATGTATGTATGTATGTATGTATGTATGTATACATGGCAAGCATGCATGCATGTATGTATGTATGTCGGCGTGTCTGCATGTATGCCTGTATGTCTGTATGCATGCATGGATGTATGTATGTATGTGTGTCTGTGTGTGGATGTATGTATGCATGTATGTATGTATGTATGTATGCATGCATACATGTATGTATGTATGGATGTATGTATGCATGCATGTATGTATGTGTGTATACATGCATGCATGCATGCATGTGTATATAAGTATGTATGTGTGTATGCATGTATGTATGTGTGTATGTATGTATGTATGTATGTGTATGCATGTATGTATGTGTATGTGTGTATGTATGTATGCTTGTATGTATGTATGGATGGATGGATGAATGTATGTGTGTATGTATGTATGTATGTATGTATGTACGCATGTATATGTGTATATATGCATGTGTGAATGTATGCCGGCATGCATGCATGTATGTCTGTATGTATGTATGTGTGTATGTATGTATGTATGTATGTATGTAAGTATGTGTGTACGTATGTCTGTATGCATGCATGCATGTATGTATGCATGTATGTATTAATGTATAGATGTATTCATGTATGGATGTATGCATCTGTACACATACGGCCACCCTTCGAGTGATGAGGAGGTTCGGGGTGAGGAACCAACGTCTCACCCGATCGATCTCACTATCGATATCACCATCGATACCACTATCGATATCACTGTCGATCTCCCGATCGACCTCACGAACTATCGATATTATTATCAATATCACTTTGGATATCAAGATCGATCTCACTATAGATATCCTGTTCGATCTCAGCATCGATCTCACGATCGATGTCACTCCATCGGTCGCACTCGCTCGATATCACTATCGATTTCACCATCAGCCTCCCAATTTATCTCACGATCGACCTCACGATCCCTCTAACTGTCGATATCACGATAAATCCGACTGTCGAAAGTAGTATCGATCCTACTATCGATCTCACGATCGACCTCAGTATCGATCACACTATCGATCTTACTATCGATCTCACTACCAATGTCACTATTGATCTCACGATCGATCTCACTATCGATCTCTCTATTGATCTCACTATCGATGTCACTATCGCTCTCACTATCAATCCGCCGACCCCTTGGGGTCACGGCGTGTGAGATGCTTCCCCCTCCCCAAACCCGTCTCCCGGGGGCCCGGTCCGGCCGGTTTGGAGAAGGGGGGGAGGCAAAAAGGTCGGCCGCGCACTCGGAGCCTCAGGAGGCCCCAAAACGAGCCAAAAAAGCTTCAAAAAGGTGCCGGAACGGTCCAAGAGAGCTACGAGTCGACGGAAGATCGTTCCAAAACGCCGAAGATTGCCTCCAGACGGCCCCATCAGTCCCCAAGACTCTTGAGAAAGTACTGCGAGGCGCCCCACGAAGGCCCTCCAGAAGCAAAAATCGTCCCATTCCCTCGGGGGAAACGTGCACTTTCAGCACAGTCGCCTTTCGGGCTTCCACGCGGCCCACAACGGCCCAAGAAGCCTCCAAGATCGACCCTCCGCAGCCCAAGACGCTCCCAAAAAGGCTCCACGACGGCTTCCAGGTGATCCACGAAGGCCCCAGAAACCATAGCAATGGCCCGGGAAAGCCGCAGGCCGGTCCCAAGAGGGCTCCAAAACGGGCCAACAGGGTCCCCAAAGGCTCCTCAGACGGCCCACGCGGGGGACGATTCGGTCCAAACCGCCCAAGATTGCCTCCAGACGGCCCCATAGGCCCCCGAGACGTTTGAAAACGCGTCCACGAGGTGCTCCAAGAGGGAGGGACTCCAGAAGCAAAAATTGTCCCGTTCCCTACAAAAAGAAGCATACATTTTCAGTACATTCGCTTCTTGGGCTTCCACGAGGCCTACAATGGCCTAGTAAACCTCCAAGTTCGACCCCCGACACCCCAAGAGGCTCTCAAAAAGGCTCCACGACGGCGTCCGGGCGCACCACGAAGGCGTCAGAACCACAGCAGCGGCACAGGACAGTCGCAGGACGGTCCCTCGAGAGCCCCACAACGGGCCGAGAGGGTCCCCAAAGGCCCTCTGGAAGGCCCACGAGGGGGACGATTCGGCCAAAACCGCCCCAGCTTGCCTGCGGACGATTCCCCATAGGCCCCCGAGACGTTTGAAAAAGCTGCTACGAGGCGCTACACGAAGGCCTCCACAATCAAGAAATCGTCCCACCCCCTTGGAAAAAAACATTCATTTCCAATACATTCGCCCCTTGGGCTTCCACGAGGCCTACAACGGCCCAAAAGCATCCAACATCGACCCCCTACAGCCCCAGAGGGTTTCAAGAAGGTTCCAAGACGGCTTCCGGGCGTCCCATGAAGGCCCCAGAAACCATAGCAACGCCCCTGAAGAGCCGCAGGACGGTCCCAAGAGGGCCCCAAGACGGACCGAGAGGGTTTTTTTTTAAGCCTCCTGGTCGGCCCGAGTCGTTCAACAGTGCGCCAAGTCGTCCAGCATGGCCTCCCGACAGCCCTACAGGCCCCCAAGACGCCTCAAGACGCCTCCTTTAGGGGGCAAACAAACCTACCTCGCTTTTCACCACCCTCGCTTCCAAGAGATACCAAGCGATGCCAAACTACGGCCTGTACTGGTCAGGCCGCTTGACGAGGAGGCGCGTGGTATGACTTGGTTTTGCCTGGAAGCGAAAGCGGGGTAAGTAATTAACGCTCTGATCCTTCCAGAAGCAACAACAGTCCCACTCTCGATGGAAGGCACAAATCTCCAACGCGTTCGCCTCTTGGCTTTTCACGCGGCCCCCGAGACCCCTCGCACGCCCCAGCGCGCCACCAGGACGCGGCCCAAGAGGCTCTCCAGAAGCGAACATCGGCCCGTTCCCTAAGGGAAGCGTCCAAGTATAGCACATTCGCTTCTTGGCCTTTCACCAGGTCCACAACAGCCCCCAAAACAATCCAAGGAAACATCATGCGCCTCCAAGGGGGCTCCCAGACGGCCCAAAAGGTCCCCAAGAGGGCCCCCGCAGCCACCGAGGAGGGCCCCAGGACGGCCCCAAAAGGTTCCCCCAACGGCCCCACAGGGCTACGACTCGTGAAGAAATCGGCCCAACAGGCCCGACATTGCCTCTGGACGGCCCCGGAGGCCCCCTGCACGCCCATGCACAGACCATCCCCTGAGATATAAGCATAGCTCCTCCCCCCCTCCTCCTCCTCCTCCTCCTCCTCCTCCTCCTCCTCCTTTTCCCTCCTCCTCCGCCTCCTCCTCCTCCTCCTCCTCCTCCGCCTCCTCCTCCTCCTCGCAACCTTGAAGCTGCGGACACGCTTGCGTCCATGCCCTCGTCCTCCTCCTGCTCCTCCCCTGAGCTCCAAGCGATACAACGTTGTTCACACCAGGCGGTTGCGCTTTGACTCGGGTCCCGAGGTCCGCCGACCCCCTGGGACCACGGCGTGTGAGATGCTTCCCCCTCCCAAAACGCCTCACCCGGGAGCCTGGTCGGCCAGCTTGGAAGGGGGGGGGTGGGGGGTAAAGGTGCCGGCCTCACACTTGGAACCTTAAGGGGCCCCAAAAAGAACCAAAAAGGT